CTGCAGAAGTGGGTGCTCTTCCCCTGCAGCAATGAAGTTGTGATGCCTTGTGCATGCTGGGGTGTTGGGCCTGGCTCTGCAGGTCTCCCTCCCCCCCAGATGCTGGCAATCTCCTCCACCCATCCTCAAGTTCAGCTTTTATTGGATTTTCTTTAGCACAGTGCGAGAGTGTTACTGCTCTTTGTTGAAGGAAGACATGATACTTCCACCCAACCCACACTCTGTTCACATCCACTGTTTGGTCTCCATACACGTTCAGTAAGTGTTGATGAATGTCAATGGGTGCCATTTTTTCTGCATGGAGGAAATTCAATTTCAGCCTTTATCTTCATACGAACTTCCATGTCAGATGTGGTTCTGTCATACTGCCCACCTGCTGCCATTTGTTACATGGCAACAAAATGTAACAGAATGTAGGCTGGAAGGTTCAGCCTCTGCTGCCATACCACTAACATCCACCTCTGATGTCATGGGTCAAGATCACAAAATAGGAGGCATTAGTTTCAGAGCAGCCCTTGTACAAGTGTCTCTTGTCTCCTCACTGAGGGTTACTGATCTGTAGCTACATAAGAAACAGCCTGGGTCTGTTAGTGGAAATGGGAACTGTAGGACAATCATAGAATCACAGAATGGCTTAGGTTGGAAGAGACCTTAAAGACCATCTAGTTTCAGCCCCCCTGCTGTGTGCTTGTTGCAGCACACCAGATCAGGCTGCCTAAGGCCATAACCAGCCTGGCCTTGAATGTCTTCAAGGAAGAGGCATCCACAACTTCTCGGCAACCTGTTCCAGTCCCTCACAACCCTCTGAGAAAATAATTTTTCCTAATATCTAGCCTAAATTTCCCCAAGCCATTCATCCTTGTCCCATCACTGTTAGACTGTGTAAAAAGTCTCTCTCCTTCCTGTTTATAAGCTCCCTTCAGATACCGAAAGACCATAACGAGGTGTGCCTGAAGCCTTCTCTTGTACAAGCTAAAGAAGCCCAGCTCCCTGAACTTTTCTTATCAGAGAGCTACTCCTTCCCTCTGATCATTTAATGGCCCTCCTCTGGACCCACTCTAACAGTTCCACATCTTTACTGTGCTGGGGACTCCAGGCCTGGATGCAGCACTCCAGATGGGGTTTCATGAGGGCAGAGCAAAGGGGGACAATCCCCTCCTTTGCCCTGCTGGCCACCCGTCTTTTGATGCAGCCCAAGATGCAGTTGCCCTTCTGGGCTGCAAGCACCATGCACTTGGCCTATTGAACAATTAGGTTCTTGTGAGCCCAATTTTCAGTCCTGTCTAGGTCACTTTGGATAGCATCCCTTCCTTCTGTTGTGCCACCTGCACCACTCAGGTTGTTGTCATCTGCAAACTTGCTGAGGGTGCACTCAATGCCACAGTCTGTCATTGATGAAGATGCTGAATAGCACTGGTCCCAAGATGAACCCCTGGGGGACTACACATCCCTGGCCTCTACCTGGACATAGCGCTATTGGCCACAACCCTCTGGCTTCAACCATCCAACTCTATCCACTGAACAGTCCACTTTCAAATCTGTATCTCTCCAAGTTAGATATGTGGATGTGGTGAGAGACCGTGCACAAGTCCACGTAGATGGCATCAGTTGCCCTTCCTTGGTTTACTGATCACTACATCACAGAAGGCCAGCAGATTGGACAGGCACCATCTACCCTTGAGGGAACTGTGCTGGCTGTCTCAGATCGTCACCTCTTCATCTTGCATGTGATGCAAGTGCTGTGCTGTTCATTTGAAGGTTATCAAAGAAGCTTGCAAATATGTGGTACTGGAAACAGGTAGAGGTGAGGGATTTGTTTAAAGTCAGACTGCAGCTCAGGATCTCCCTAGGACCTGTCTGCTCCATGTACAGTGTTTTAGTTGTTCGGCCCTGAACTCATTGAATTCCTTGACTGTCCTGTGGGCGCTCCAATCACCAGAGCTGGGGGCTCTAGATTAGAGTGCAGGGACAAAGCCACCAACGTTCAGCTATGGATCGTTTTTCAGCTGCCTCATAGATATTATCTGTCAGTTATTTTAGCAGAAATCCTGTGGTTTCTGCATGTTCACCATTTGTGTCATTCTCTAACCAGCTGTTCTCTTGCTGAGCAGGAGTGACAGAAGGACTGACTGCCAAAAGCTGGGTATACAGAAGTGATGGCTGTGGTCAGACCCCCTTATGGAAGCAGGTGGGCAGCTTGGTAGAGAGATGCCTGTGGGAGTCACGACTGGTTGATCTTCCATCCTTGTATGTTTAACATTCAGGAAAAAAAAAAAAAAGAAAAAATTCAATTTAAAATGGCTCTTCTATCCTTTAAACTTAAAAGCAAACTAGAGGGGGGAGGGAGAACTGGCAGACACCCTTGAGGACTGAATACTTAAAATAAGGTCTTTTTTTAAAAAAAAAACTTGGTTTGCCAAAAACTTCTTGCACTGATCTTGGACAGGAAAACATTGCAAAATACAACATTCTAGTCAGACAGTAACATTGCTTCCTGCTCTGCTCAAATACCATCCATGAAGTCCTACTGCCTCAGTTCTTGGGATTGCTTTTGTCCAACGTTTGCCTTCTCCACTGGGGTGGATTCTGACACTTCCTGCTGGTCTGGGGGGATTGCCTGAAACCACTCCAAGTCTGCAGACAGAACAGCTTAAATGCTTGCTTGCTGCTCTGGAGCTAAATCTCTATTCCCAGATGATATTCCCTGCAAGATCCCTCCCATTCACCTCCAGAAAACCAGCTGGCAGGTAAAAATCCAGCCAACTGGATTCGTAATCACCACATGGAAGCTGCAGGATAAATGCAAAAAGCCGTATCCTTCTGTTATTCTCCTAAAAGCATGGCTGAGCTCTAGAGTTCAGCTTGTCACAGATGATGAGGTTAATTCTGCAGGCAGATTGGGTCTGTTTGCCATAAATTGGTGCTGATTTCCGTACACCATTCAGAAATCCCTCATCCGAGGAAGGCAGATCTGGAGCTCGCTGTGTTCAGAGCAGATGTACTTGCCTGGGGACCTGCACTGTCTGACTGATGGTGTGAACAGCTATCTGCTAGAGAGCACCTATCTGAGCAACCTTCACTTCAACCATCATGTGCCCTCTAGACCTGCAGGAGCCAAAATCCTTCAAGCAGGTTGCAGAATTCTCCATGGGGAGCCATACAGTCCTTGTTTTTGCAGTAAAATGAAGCACATAACAGACTGAAGCACAGCAAGCCTTCCTGGACATGTCCTGGTGACCCTGCTGTCCCTGGTGTCCAGCTGGACATCTTCAGCAGGTGGTAATCACAGAATGGAAGGGACACACAAGGATCATTTAGCTCCATGCCATTCCTTTGGGTCCTGTTGCTGTCATTAGAGAGCAGAGCTCATCACATGCCCCTCCGCTCCCCTGAGAAATGGCTCTAGGCTGCCATGAGGAGCTGCAGGCTGCCACGAGAAGCTGCAGGCTGCCACGAGAAGCTGCAGGCTGCCATGAGGCCTCCCCTCAGTCTCCTCCACACTGAACAAACCAAGGGACCTCAGCCTTTTCTCAGTCTTGATGTCCAGACAAATGATGCACAGCCTGTGCCATGCTGCCCTAGTCCTGGTCACTCATTCAACTTCTTGCCAGTGGTTTCAGGCTGAACCATTGGGCTGCGAAGGAGAGAAGTTGAAGGAGGAGCCAAACTGCTGTCCTCACAGCGAGAATGGATGGCTTGTCCTTTTCCACTCCCAGGCCTGCATCTTCTCTCTGCAAAGCAGGCAGTAAATGAATTTTTCAGAACCAGACTTGGGGGTCTGCCCTCCCTGCTCCTCTGTGCTGTGCCCACATCTGCGTCCCTGCAGGCTGAGGCTGGGGGAGCTTTCTCCTTGTAGGTTTCTGTCATATGGTGCACATCAGTATGGTATGCTGTTTACTGTCTCGTCTGTTCCAAAAATGTTACACGGGGGGAAAGCTCTTGGCCAGGGCAGTGTTGACTTTTCCAGATTCTGTTCCATTGGGGTTTCATTGCTTGCAACCATTAGCATGTTTTTTTCCTTTAAATCCAGGCCTCTGCAGCCTTAACTAGCTGACTGGGAACATAAGCTTGCTTGATATATGACAGTTTTGTTGGGGAAACACAAGCAATGGATGTGGAGACTAGAGATGATTGGCAAAAGCATCTTTTTTTTTTTTGTGGAAAATTTTGGGAGTAAGTTTCATTCTCTCTTTTTACCTGAACCTAGATACAATCTCAAAACTTCCCCTCCCAAAATACCCAAAAACAACCGAAGAAGAAATTACAGCTCCTTCCCCGTCTTCACTTTAAATAAAAGCCTAAGCTCTATTTATACCCTTTATTTAAACACAGATTTTATAAATACCCCAAAGTATTCCTGATGATTCATTACATCAAAAATGTCAAAACAGACATTTTGAATTCTTGGTGGTTTTTTTTTTTGCTTGCTTGTTTGTTTTGGTTTTGGTTTTGTTTGTTTGTTTGTTTGGATGTGTGTGAATGTTCCACTAAAGCATTCCAGCACATTCATTTAATGGTGGTTTTGTTTAAAATAAGAGGTGTGTTTGCTGGTCTTTCTGGAGTGGCAGATCCACAGCAGGATGAGAGCAGGGATCCACAGCAGCCCCCATGGCCTCACGTATTTTGCAGCCATGACCCAGACTAAGGCAGGCCAGCCAGGTTCCTGCCTCTGCCCAAAGCTGTCTCCCTGTTATTTGCAAGTGAGTGCAAACCAGGGAACCACCTCAATCCTGTGATATCCCCCGCCTGTAATTCACACAAGGAAATCAAGTTAATGGCAGGCTTGTGAGAAATCCTACTCAATTTGGGTCTAAAATGAGAGCTATGGAAATGACTTGTCTGGGCAGACATTCACCCTGGGTTGTGTAGTAGGCCTGCAGTGTTGTCATGTTCACTACCTTTAATTTCAGGAGCTCAACACAAGTTCACTGGAGCCCTACAGCTAGCTGCTCATTGGCTCTATCTTTAACAAAATGCTCTATTGATTTTGTGTTTTTTAGGTTACGGCAGTTCACAAATGCTGCTCATGCATGGGGTGCTGAATGCTGGCAGGGCAGAGTGTAATTCCTGACATTGCTGGAAGGTTGGAAGAGAAGAAAAGTCCAAGGGAAGCCTGGCAGTGGAGTCAGTGCTGGTTGCTCAACCCAGCCCATTGACATCATGTAACATAATGGTAAATAACGTGGGAGTCCACAGTTCAGTGAAAGGTTCCTGAGATAATGAAAGCTCCAAGAACTACTGTTAGGCATGGAATGTGCTCACAGTGTTATGTTTGCTTATATTTGCTATTTAAAGTGCATACAGAGAGACACAGCTGGGCACTCTAACTCTCTTGGATGGAGGACCAGAGAGGTTTCTGTTCTGCAGAGCAAACCCTATGACTTCCTTGGAGAAGTCCTAGATCTTTTCCTGCCCACCTCTGAGCTGCAGGCTCCTGGATTTCCTTTTGGGGCATGCCCTTCCACCAACACAGGAGCCAGCATGGAGACTCCATCAAGCCAGGGGTGTTGTCTGCATGGGAGCAGCTGCTGCAGGTTCAATGCCAGTAGAAACCCAGATGAACTCAGATGAGCTTTGACACAGAAATGAGGTATCAGAGGAGGACTATAAGCCATCAAAGGTCAATCTCTGTTTGCTGTGTCCAGTGTTGTCTGTTCCTATGCCTTGCTGGCAAAGAAAAAAATCCAGCCTGATCCCGCAGAACACTCCCAGTGACCCCCAATACTGCCTTGAGCTTCCTGAGCACCTCCTAGGGCATCTAGCACTGCTGAGATCACCCCAGTACTGACTAGAGACTCCCAATGCTCCTTAGAGCTTCCCAGTGCCCTCAGTACTGACTAGAGTCCCACGGAACCCTCCCAGGATAGCTGTGCATGCAGTGACAGAGCACCTGGCTGAATTGAGAAAGGAATAAACCCTTCTGACGCCCACCTGAAGTCGAGGAATTAGTCAGTAAGCTCCCACCTGCTGTGAAGAGCAGATTAGGAGCGTCTGCTGAGAACCCTGATTAAACTTTTTCACTGTTCAAATGTGGCTGTCAGTTTTACACAGGTTTGTCATGGCAGACTCAATCGACTCTGGTATGTGGCAACTGTGCTTGTAGCAAAGGTGCAAAAGGACACCATCATGTTCCCGTTCCACAAGATGGACATATCTATGAGACTAAGTTTGCTTTAGAGATTAAATGCAGTGCCTGAAGTAGAAAAAGGTGACCTTGGAGGTCTTGTGTTTTTTGCCCGATGTCTGAGCAGGCTGTGATTCGAGTTTGGACGGCTTTATAATAGAGAAAACCATCGCTATGTTTGAGTTTAAATTACTCATTATTCATTGTGATGGAAAGAAAGCAGCAAAACTCTCTCGTCTCTCTTGAGCCAAGACAGGAGCTGTGATCCTGCTCTTCTCTGCAGCAGGAGAGTCTTTCTACTTCAGCGGTAAGATGCTTGTTTTCTCAGTGGAATCAAATAATGCAAAGCCACAGATAACAATGCAGAGGCTCTCTTGTTTTTGTTTTTCTTTCTGTTTTTTTTTTTCTTCAGGTAGGAGCATTTCTCTCAGTCGCTTTTTACTTTCCCTACCTTCTTTCTTCTAAGTCCAGATCTTTCTAAAGTACATCAAGCGTCTTCTTGATGACACATTTCTGAGCATAATTCTTACCTTTCTCATACAGGATTTTCTTCCAGGGTTTGTGAAGTACTCTTTGTTAGCATGAAATGCAGAAAAGCCAGATGGTTTGGCTGGAGTCCAATTACCTAAGAAACACAGCACTAAGACCCTATCAGAAGCTGTTTCCTCTAAAGATCACTCTTGACCTGCTTTGTTCTAAAAACCAGCTTAGAGTCAGCATTGAGCTGTCAGTGCATACTTTCCCCCCATAATTAATCTACAAGAGTCGGCCTGAAATCAATATCAGTGACTTTGTGGCTCCTATTCCCCCCCACCCCCCCCCACCCCCAATATTGCTTTTCCACACGACTCTTCCTTCAAAGGGGTGTAGAATGATGTAAGCTGTTTTTCACCAGTAGTGCTGTGTGGAAGTTCTGATGGTATTTCTCTCTCCCTGGTCTGAAGCGCCTGGTTTGTCCAAGCTCTGGGATAGCTGGATATGCTCTGATACTTCCCTGTGGCTTCAGAACTCCTATAGCTCCCACGGTTGTTCTGGCCACTGAGGACAGATGGGGAGTAAGGTGTGTGTTGCTGTGCACACATACCTGGGACAAAGAAATGCACGTGGTCATGATCCCTCATGATGAACCCAGAGAGGCAGCGCCCATGGCTCAGGCATGGGGAATGTGATTTTAAGCTGCTAAATGTCTTGCTCCAAGCCGAGTGCTCTGCTCTGCCAATTGATTTTTTGTATTGAGATCAGAGCTGTTTTTTCCTTCTTGATCAAGGGAGATTGCGAGCTGTCAGGCTCAGTAGGAATCTGGTCCCCTTGACTCCTGCAGGGTGATGGCTGTGATTGCTGGCGGGTTGGGTCTCTGTCGGTGCCTTACTTCTAAGGTGTCCTTCTCTCTTCAGAGCTCTTACACTTGTTGTCTTTTTTTTTTTTTTTTTTTTTTGGCCTGTCTGTGATTACTCCTAATTGTTCCATTAAAATGGATGTCAAAATAATTGGATGGTCCCTCAGCAGATGTAAAATTTATGGTCCGCCTGTGCCTCTGCGCTGAAGCTAGGATCTTGGATCTTAAAAATCCTTTTTCTCCTGGCAATGTGGGAGTTTCCCCTAAAGATGTGGAATGTTTACTGCATACCAAAGGCAAGACATTATGCAGGCACGAGGCTCCTAACACCTACAATTTCTAAACTGCATGTGGCCTGTTTGGATTTCCTTGTGCTGAATTCACATGGAAACACAAACACATGTGGCATTTTTGTTACTTTTCTAGGAAATCACTGAGCGCAGCCCTGCAAAATAATACTTCCTACTGTTAGCTCCACTGAGTGTGGGGGAAGGTGCTGCCTTTGTGTCCCAGGCTGCGGGAGCCACATGCCAAGGCTTGTGAGTCATTCACCCTGAGTGTCTGGCTTTCCAGGAAGGCAAATCCCAATTTTAGAACTTATCAGGGACTGAAGAGCACCGTGGGGAAATAATAAAGGAAAGGTCATTGAACATTATCAGAACTGGAGGTTTCCAATGGGAATCATGCCAGGAAATGCACGATTAGTGTAGGAATGGAATGTTGTTTCTGCATAAGGTATTGAAAAGGGGGAATTGACCTGAAGAAGTAGAGCACAGTGTATTTGTATTTTGTAACTTGTCCTTAGAAATAGCTGATGTGAATATATGTGAATATATGACCATGTATGTTAGTAGCATATTTTAGAAATATAGGTGCTAAATTATGTGATTAACTCTTGCTTGCAAAACTGCAATCATTTGTAAATGTTCCAAATATTGTAGGTGTAGTATTATGGACTAGAAAGCATATTGTAGGGCTGTTCTGTTTGGATAAGAGACCCTCAGCAAAAGAAAAACAGACTTAACAAACATCAAAGAAGCCAGGGCCTCTACACGAGGCTGGATTGCCTTGCTCTGTGGGTAGGTTGGGATGCAACAGGCAGCATCAAGATACTCCCCTCTGTCCTCCTTCCAAGCTTATCTCCACGCAAGGACGAGCAGATGTGCAGAAAGAGTGACTGAGTGTTGAATGAGCAAATGTGAGAAGTTAACTAATGAGTGATATGTGTTTAGTTAGCTAGTATCCGTGTGTTTAGTTGAGCGTAGGGAAGATTGTGAACCTGAAGCACTCAGCCAATGAGGAACCAGGGGAGAAAGAGATGAGCATCGAGTGATAGGGCATAAAAGATGGAACGCTGTTTCCTGCATGCTCTCCTGCTTGCAGGAGGCCCAGCACTGCAATTGTGAATAAAATCTTCTTTATCAGAGATACCATCCTGGTAAATTATTTGGATGTTTCCAACAATTAGAAATAGGAGAAACTGTGTTTTGTCAAGACAGCTGGAATAAAGCCAGGAGGATATGGAATGCTTTCAGCCTGCTTGTGGGGAAGCAAGCTGGCAAGGTGTGAGTAGAGGAGACTGGGGAGAAAATGTGAGAAATTAATAGCAGGTGTCTTGCTATGTGTGCTTGACACCACTCTACAGCTATCAGGTGCCCAGTCGTCACCTGGGAGAAGAGAAGCAGAAGGGCATCTCTCTTGCCTCAGCTGCTGCCAGGTGAACATCAGCCCATGCTGGTGTTCCTCAGAGCTTCATGACTGGCACTTGTGGTCCCTCATGCCACACACAGCAATGCAGTGCTGCACAGAGCGTGGAGAGATGTGCGAGTGAGGCACAAGTGGGACAGGACAGATTGCACCGGAGAGCTTCCCTCTCACTGCTGCCATCAGCCTGCTGCCTGTCTTGGGTGGGGGATGTCTTTTCCTTACCACTTTTAGTCATTATGGCTGGAAAAATACCAGTTCTCAGGGAAAGCAGAGGTCCCTTGATTCCGTGGTGCATGTAGAGAGAACAAGAATGCTTTACTTCAGTGTTGTACCTTAGTGCTGATGTATCCTCAGCTGATTCGTTTGATTACTTGCATATGATGTATATGCAATATATTTTGGATATACAGAGCAAAATGCATGTGTGCTAACAGCAGCTGCAGGACTCCACCTCAAGAATCATTCAGTTTCATCAGTGAAATCACACTGGAATGTGCTTCTCATCCAAATGTTAACCCCACTTAACCTGAAAAAAAGTCACACTCCAAGTCTGTCTCGTGTAAGAACAATTCCTTGACTGGTTTTTTCTAACAGAGGGACCTAGGAGTTCTATTTATGTCTCTGCCATATCAACTGTTAGATGGAGAGCTAGAAGATTTAGCCATATTATGTTCATATCAGTTTGCAGGAAAAGACAGCTGAGTGGAAGAGAAACAATCTACTTCCCAAGAAATCCATTTCTGAAGAGCTAGTTAAGGATACACATTTTGTACTGAACTCTTCATTCAAGTGTCCTTCTTGGCCTTTTCTATGCCTTGCAAGTTCATCAGAGCTCTTCTAATCGGGTCTCCTTATCCTTGGTGAGCCCTAAGCCTCCTTCTATTAATGTTCAATTTTAGCACTATTGTCATGCCTCCTTTAGCTGTTCTGCCCTGTTGCATGCACAGAGATACCTCCTCACAAGAAAACTTAAAATGTCCGGCTTCTACTTCAGTCTTCTTACTCAAGCCCTGAACAGTGCTCTTCACAGCTGGTATCTACAGCTGCTTTGCAAATGGCATCCAAAGCGACTTCAGTGTGTTCATGACTTGTACTCCAAGGCCATGGTAATATTCCTTACTGTGATCCTGGCTGTAAGTAAGCCATTGGGATGTGGTTGGTGATCGCCCTAAAATGCTGCAGCCAGGAACTGTGCCCCTGCAGGACCCTCTGGGAAATGAATGCAATGGCACCAGACACGAGAGAACTCCCAAGAGACCCTCTGACCCCGAGGCACACTGATTATTTCAGTCCAGGTTATTACCTCTGCTGTGGTTAAATTCTATTCTTTGGTCTCATCCATCCCAGAAGCACCGAAAGCATTGGATCACAACACACTGCTAATTTTGAGCTGTAAGTGAAGGGTCTTTCAGTAAGTGGATGTTTTTCTCCACCTGGTTTGACTTGAGCTGTCTTTTCCATCACGTGCAGTAGTGACAAAGCAGTGGTACTGCTGACAGCTTTGTGACATACCAGGACAACTTAAGTCCCTTTCTAGTGAACAACTTCAGAAATTGCCATTGTTTCTTTTGCTGATTGCATTTTCTGGAAACTCTTACTAGCTCTTAAGTAAGTTGCCAAAGCTTTAATTCAGCATTTGTATCTCATTTGGAATAGGACTTGAGACAAAACTGAGGGACACCAAGCTTCTTGGTAAGTCCAAAAGCTGTTGATAGTCCCCAAAAAGACACAAGGAATGTTGATGACATGCTGAATTTTCACTTTTCTCAGAAGTAAGAAAAACAGAAGGATCCTAAGTAATGATGGTTCTTCTGACTGACAAAAATGTGCACCATTAGGCTGTTATTTGGTTTTAAATTATACCTTCAAGGCAGCACTAGTTTTTCTGCAGGCAGAATAGGAACCGAATAAGTTCTCAAGTGGCAGAAAGATTCCAGCCAACTCCAAACTCCATTTTGTCTGTGACAGTGGAAATCCTGGCTCTCTGAATTGGGGTTGTAGAGAAATTCTGGAAAGGAGTACTGAATGGCAGTAGCTGATTTAGCAGATATGAACACCCATGAAGGTTTTTTGGATGTAGAAGGTGGCTGGTATGTGACTTGAGATAAATGTCCACTCTGTCATTGCCGCAGAAGGAGAGAGCCTTGCACTGCCTTGGGACCAGCTGCAGCAAGGCGTGCACAAGCCCTTAGTGGCAGTTTGGATGCTTGGATGCTTGGTGTGCATTTCTACTGCATCTCTGAGCTAACTAAACTAAAGGCAGT